CAGATGTTGCTCTACTTCAACGTCTACTACTTCCCGGTCTGGTTCCTGGCTGAGGGGTTGATGCTGCAGCTGAAGGTACCATCCTGGGGGCACATGGTGGGGGGTGAACCTGCTCCTGCCCAGCCTCCCCGAGCGTGCAGGGGCCACACTGAGCAGGGGAGAGGGGAGCCTCGTCAAAATGAATGGGTCCCCACACATACGAACAAAATGCACCGTCCCCCACAAGACAGGATGGCTCGCCTCTGGCTCCAGAAACGGGAATTGTGAGAACAGCCACTGAACTCTCCAGGCAGGGAAGGTTAATCTGGGAGGGCAGAGTGGGCAGGGCTGGGCACCAGCACGGGTGGGAGCTGGCAGAGCATGGGGAGCTGGGGACACGGGGAAGGGGATGGGGAGGCGGGCGCTGAGCGCAGGGGATGGGAAATGGCATGGAGAACTGGGCACAGGGCATGGGATGGGGCTGGCTGGGACGAGCTGTGCCCTCATTTCAGTACCACCTGCTGCCTCAGCACTACCAGTTCCTGCTGGTTGCTGCCTTCCTCATCCTGTCACTGGCCGAGGGCTCCCGCCTCTACCTGGGCTACGTGGGGAACCTGCAGGAGAAGGTAAGTGGCATCTCTCTGCCCTGGCCACAGTGAGGGACAGCCGTGCTGTGGGAGCTGTGGTTATGCTGGATGTCCCCTTGCTCGGGACCCAAGTGCCCGTCCCCAACCGGTTCCTCCTGGAGTCCTGCCTGGAGCTGTCCTGGGAGGGAACTGCAGGGGCAGGCAGGACCTGGAGGCAGGGGACAAAGGGGACCCACTCGCTCTCCTGCTGTATCCCTCCCTGTGCTGTGGGTGTGATGCTCCAGCTCTGGGCTTGACAGCATCCAACCACATCCAGGCACAGCTCCGCCTGGTAAGGCTGTCCCTGGTACCCGGGTGCCAAGGCCAGCAAAGTGGACAATTCAGGGAGCTCCTGGGGCAGAGAGGGTCCCCCTGCCCCACCGATGGCTTCTGCACCCCATCTCAGCAGCCTCTGCTCCCACAGGTGCCC